TCAGGACCAAGGTGTGAATTGAATTTAGRTTAGTTTTAGGGTCAGGTACCTGTGAGGTTAGCCTTAGGGTTKGTGGTCAGGGTTAGGCTGTAGAAATGTAATGGAAGTCAATGTCAGAATGTTGTTTCTGACATTGTTAAAGCTATAAGGTGTCAAAGCTGAAACCTTCGAAGGTGGACATTTTTGAGTACATGGACGACTTACCCAAGGATATTGGAGTACGAACAAACCTCCTTTGGCTCCTCTTCACAGACTTCCCCCTTTTCAAGAAGGAATTTTGGGGCCTTTCACTGCTTACCAGTTCCGCTTAACGGGACCAGGAAAATGGGAGGGGCCCCGAAAGGCAAATCTTCACCCAGTTAGACCGCATGTACCAGCCCCTAAAAATCAGAAAGGTATGCTATATGCATGGATGTATGTTTATGGAGTTTTCTGGAGTAATGTTATTAATGTTACATGTGCAGCAATGCTGGTCTGAGACACAGAGTTTCTAAAAAAAAAAAGGACATCAATTTTTGTCTCCTAGCTGGAGGTGAATGAGGGTTCAACAGGCTGTCTGATCAAGTTTGACTCTCATGGACAGAGGAGCTGCTCTGTACTACGTTAAAGTTCACAACCCCACCATCATCCACGTCCTGATGTCTAAACTTCATCTATAAACAGATTGAAAGAGCTGAAGTGTCTCATCTTGAATAATGTCATTCCCTCATTAAATGCATGTACAGAGTGTTGCTTTGACTCATTAATGCACGTTTGAGAAATCCTCAAATCTCTTTTTGTAGCCACGTAGAGCTGCCTAAATGCTTGCTGGTCCAAAGCTCCGCCTCTTTGTACAAAGCTCCTCCCTGGAGCTCAGTCTGCAGCTGAACTCCTGTCCAACAGAGCACTGTCACTGCCCTATCTGTCCCAGGAGCACGATCCGTACCATCAGCTCATTTGCACATGTGCTAAAAAATACTTCTGTGAGGGTTTTGTTTGTTTTATACGTAGCATTTTGTTAGACCGCTTGTTGACAGAATATTCATTTTCAATCTTTTGTCACCTGCAATTTTTCCTAGAAAAGGGAACTTTTGCAACAAATGTGGATTTTTATTCCTGTGTGTGTGTGTGTGTGTGTGTGTGTGTGTGTGTGTGTGTGTGTGTGTGTGTG